ATATATATATAACACTATCGTTGCAAGACTCATAGGTTTTTTATTTTTTCTAATAATTACTAGTCTTAATAATTTCAAATTTTGTATTTGTTAAGAGTACATTTTTAATAGCCTTTTTGTACTTCCTAACTCCACTTCTCGGTCTTTTTGTTTGTATATGATATTGACTTCTAAAACTTCTAGGACAACTTTCTTAATTGAACTAGCCATCACAATTCATACCAAACATTAGGTTTGAGTCACCCAAAGGATTAAATTTGTAACAAGAATTTTATTTGTGATATGATAACTTCACATTTGGAAGTAACCCAACATTTTTTTCTCATTTCTTAAAACATACTTTTATTATTGCAATGTTATTGCTACTGTGAATTTAACATTAGGTTCATCCATTGTGTTTTTGTCTTCTTTTTCTAAACCAACAAAAATTCTCACATCCATCCTATTATAACCTATATGGTCATTTAAGTTATCACGGATAACTATCATTTCTTCAGCAAGTATATGTTGTATTAGTACTTATATGGTCATTTAAATTACCTCCAATTACTTTCGTTTCTTCAGTGAGTGTACATTGTAGTAGTTTTTCCATCTCTTCAAAAATTATTTTTTGATCCATTTTGAGAAGCATAAGAATAACTACATTCATAATTTCCTCACCGATAATTATTTTAATAGCAATCCTCCTTTCATCAACTCTACAAACCTCGGCAATTATATCTTTAACTTTAACTCTTTACTTTGAGCCCAACACCATACCTATTTATTTATTATTTTTTTAACATACAAAAACTTGAAACGTTCTCCTTTAGCTTTAGATGTTTCTCCATTACATTTAGTTCTTTAAACAAATAATATTTATTCTTCTTATAACTAATTCAGAGTTCTCAAATTTCACATGAAAAATTAATAGGGGTGTAATCGAGCCGAACACGAGCGAGCCTAGGCTGAGCTCGCGCTCTGTTCGTTAAAAAATATTACTGTTCTTGTTTGGCTTGCTTATATTTTGCACACAAAAAATGTGTTCGTATTTGACTCGTTTGCTTAGGAGCCGAACACGACTTGTTCTCGAACAAAGAGTCATTTGACAACCCTAATCACGTAGTCGAAGGATATTAAGGGTTGGGGTAAGATTTAAATTCTATTGTTTATATTAAAACATCATTAAAATATAATTTAATATATTTTTATTCTATTTTTTAAATTAATAATTTTTAACGACCATACCATCACCAGTGTAACGGATTTCATCAGAGCTCTGAAGTTAAGCGTGCTTGGGCGAGAGTAGTACTAGGATGGGTGACCTCCTGGAAAGTCCTCATGTTGCACTTCCTATGTGAGGAATGCTTCGGGTATTTTGTGTGATAGAAAAGTTCCGCTTAGACTGAAAGGAAAATTTTATAAGATGGTGGTGAGACCTGCAATGGTCAATGGCGTTGAATGTTGGCCTTTGAAAGAGAAACATACTACTAAGGTAAGTGTTGTCGAGATGAGTATGATTAGGTGGATGAGGGGCTTTACACTTAGAGACTAAATGCGAAATGAATATATCCATGAAAGGGTTGGTGTAGCTACACACTAACAGACAAAATTAAAGACTCATTTTTGATTCTTAGATGGTTTGGTCATATTGTCATATTGAACGTCGACCATCTGATGATCTGATTAGGAGAGTAGATGTTTTAGATTCGACTTATGTTAAGAAAGGTAGTGGTCGACCTAGAAAGACTTGAGCTTATTTTTTAAGAAATGATCTTAATTATTAGAACTAAATGAAAATATGACACTAAATAGGATGCAATGGAGAAAAAGAATTCATGTAGCCAACCCCACGTAGTGGGATTAAGGCTTTGTTGTTGTTGTATAAATCTTTGTAGTCTTGTAGTCAATTAAATTTTAAGAAAACTACTCATTCATATATATATATATATATAATTGATGAGTAGTATTTTGAGCCAAAACGAGCCGAACACGAACACACAAATCTTTGTTCGTGTTTGACTCGTTAACTTAGCATACAAGTCGAGCACGAGCTGTTCGTGAACAATTAGTCGTTTTGATAGCCCTACAATTTAACCTTTTCCTTTCATCACAGTTTGGTTAACTTATAGCACAGCACTCGGGGGTGATGTTTCAGCCTACCCTTTACTTATTTTTCGTCTCAAACGGGTTAAGTTGTGGTGGGTCTGTTAACTTTGCTAATTTGTTTGTGAGTAAATACTTATATTAATCTTTTCTTTTCATTAATCCAGATTTTTCGTAGTTTTGTTATCTACTAATTTGCATGTTACCTTGTCTTAGTCTGATGCAGTTTATGACAATGCTTTACAATGGTTTTAAATTTTATTGCAGCTTGAAGAGAATATTCGTGGGATTGCCTTTTCAGGAGGATGGACTAAGTTTATGGATGATATGATTGAAATGCCCAAATCATCGAGTGGGCTTTGCCGAATCGGAGGAAATAAAAAACGTGGAAGTGGTATAAAACGAGGCAGAAGGCAAGCGGAACTTCCGATTGCATCTTCTGATGATACGTGTGATTATTTGCAGTGGTGGCGAGGAGGGGAGCTTTCAAAAGCCATATTTCAAACTGCCAAAATTCCTAGTTCACTTGCTAAGAAAGCAGCTCGGCAGGGTAAATATTTTTTACTAGTATTTTAAGGTATCTCATTATCACTTAGTCGCATATAGATCAATTATGCCCATGCATTTGTTTAATGCAGCTGGCAGAAGAAGAATTCCTGGCATCTCATACCATGAATGCTCTGCTTATCGTCGAAGAAGTCGGCAGGTTGCATGGAGAGCTGCTGTAGAGTCAAGTAAATGTACATCACAACTTGCTCTTCAGGTTAGTTTCATTCTTTCCCAGTATGAAACTTCTTTTCTGTCTTTCCGTAAAGCTACTCCATTCATTTTTTCAAAAGTGGTGATCAGGTCAGGTATCTTGATGCTCATATACGTTGGAAGGAATTTTCTCGTCCGGAGCAGATTCCAATTGATATCAAAGGGTCTGAAAATGATATCATCGTTTTCAGAAACACATCTATATCTGATAAAAAGATTGTGGAAGATAAAATACTGTATGCACTCAATTTTGGTGATCAAAAGCATATTCCTTCACGCATAGCAAAGACTGTTGTGGAATCTGAAAAAGCTCAGGGTGGAAATGAGAAATTGTGGTTCTCTGAATGTCATCTTCCTTTATACTTGATAAAAGAGTATGAGGAAAAGGTTGGCAAATGCCAAGTACTTCTTGCTGTGTCCTCGGCACACAATATGGCAATATTCTATAGAAGAGCACTGAAACCTTACTGGGGAGATGTTTTCACATACCTTACATGCAGAAGTGAGAATCCAGTGAAGTGTTCATTTTGTCAAAAAGCTGTTTTTTTGAGGTAGTTATATGATCTTTTTTCTGCAGTGCCTAAATCATTTAGTTTTTGAGAAAAAAACAGTTGTGCAGTATATTCATTCTAAGATAAAATTATTAAATTTTGGATTGTTTTATTCTGACACATTGTTTTCTACTATATTTGAAGGTATGCTGTCAAGTGTAAGGCTTGCGAAGGTATCAAATCACCAATTGTTTGCATCAATGCACTTCACTTTTATTTTTTAGGTCTGACGAGCATTTAAGGATGGTGTTCATAATACTCTTTTGTTTGCCTTATTTCAGATTATTGTCACCTGCACTGTTCAGTGGCTTCAGTTGCGAAAAAGGACGATGATCCTATGTTTTCTAAAATGTGCAAGTCATGTTATTCTGCTATTGGGCCCACACATGAGAGTTCTTGGAGGACTTGTAGTATGAAATCTTCTTTGCTGGGAAACTATCAGCAACTGGCAATGCCTCTCACGAATGGCATTATCCAGACCAGGGCGGTCACCTCACTCTCAGTTAGTAAGATGGAAGTTAATTCAGATTCAAGGTCTTCCAATCATACTCCTAACTCAAAAAGCAAAACTAAACGAAAAGGGGGAACATGGCTTACACATGGTATTGTATGGAAGAGGAAGAAGCATGGTCCTGAGGGAGGCAAAGAGTTCAGGATGGAAAATATTTTACTAAAAGTTAAAGAAGGTTCATATTCATCAAAAAGTCCAATCTGTTGTTTATGCAAAATGCCATACAATTCAAACCTGATGTATGTGTGCTGTGGAACATGCAAAAGTAAGTTCTATGTTTGTGGTTATTGTTTGTTTCAAAAAAAAATTTTCTTTGCATTGAGGTATTTATATATGCCTTTTTATATCTATATTTGTGTGCCTTTGCCTGCCTCTTGCAGATTGGTGTCATGCAGATGCTGTGCTCCTTGATGAATCTAAAGTCCTTGATGTTGTTGGGTTCAAGTGTTGCAAGTGTCGAAGGAAGTCTTCACCTAAATGTCCATATTCAGAAATCGGCTACATAAAATTAGAGGAGCAACTGAAACATGATAGTGCAGCAGAAATTGGTGTGACTAAATCTGGCTCTCCATCAACATCCATATCCAATTCTGAAACTGACAATTTTGGTGTGGTAGAATTTGATCCTTCCCTCCATTCTATTGAAAAAGTTGAGCCACTTGACGAGACAAATCTTGAGATGGAACATAAATTTGATGCATCCATAGAAACATTAAAAGACCAGCAAAAGGTGTTTATAAAATCTCAGGTTAAGCTGGAGGATTTTGATGAATGGTATGCAGGTCAAATTGGATTCTCAATGCATGAAACTTCTCAAAGCCTGCAGAATATTCCAGCACAAAACACCATGAGTGATTCATGGAACATTCCTGGCTCATCAGAATGGGATAGCATTGAAATATATGGACGTGGCAACATAGATTTCAAGAATGAATGCAAAGAAGGGCATTTACCTGATCAAGAACTTGAAGCAGCAAAGAACATGGAATTTGAACCTCAAACCTACTTCTCTTTTACTGAGCTTTTGGCATCTGCGGATGACATGACTGGAGATATGATGGAGCCACAAGATGTCCCCGTCACCTTGAGTGATTATGGAACCACTTACTCTGATAGGACATGCCATAATTTATCTGTGAAGAATGAAATTACGGTGAAAGAGGAATTTATTTTTGATGAGTTTGAATGCGAAAAATGCAAACTTTGTATCCCCTCTCCAGATCTCATCTGTGAGATTTGTGGGCTCTGTATACATTCTCATTGCTCTCCTTGGGTTGAGGAGGTTATTGAGATTTCAACTGGCTCCAAATGGAGATGTGGAAACTGTCGGGAATGGAGATAATCTGAAGTATGTTGTTAACTTGCTTTTTGAGATTGGGAAAACTATATATATTCTGATTTTGACATGAGAGACAGATATTCTGTCAAACTGAACTTCATTTCCGATGGCCCTGGTCGAAAGCATTACTAACGATGAGGTTAAGTCTGCACATATTGGAAAAAATATATCTGGATTGATTTGTGCCAAAGCAGAAGAAATTGCTACTAGGCTTCTTCAAAATCTTTATTTATTGTGTTTACTTGTAAATATTGAAGTTCTATAGATTGGCAACCTAACAATATGGTTGCTTTGGCTGTTGTACCACAAATGTTGGATGTTCTATTGAGCAAAGACATATGAGGCAGCTATTAAATTTTGACGAGTTTTTGTTTTCTGGAGTAGATTTTTTATGGATTTAAGTTGTTGTAATCTATCTCCATCTAATTTGTTTTGCTTCTTTATTTTGGAACTACAAGTTGTGTTTGTATCTTTTATCCATCCAGCTTGATAAGAGTTGGGCTTAATTCTTTTTGCATAAGATTACTGTGAAATTTTGTTAAATTTTTTTTCCCCTTCTGAAAAATATCATTTAGCTTTTTCGCAGCAGAGCTTTCATCGTAACCTTCATTTCATGCAGTAATCACATCTGGCAAAATGATATTTTCTTGTACAATTAGTTCGAATCTGAATTGATGATTCATATTCCTAATGAGTATTTGGTTTGCATCTGACTATCGTTGTATGCAAAAATAGACTGTAACAACTTTTCATCATTTCTGTGGTAAGTGATATCTACTATTTGTAAATAATTCAAACTAGTTGAATCTTAAAATATGTACTCAAAAAGTAACGATTATGTGTATGCCTGAATATTTTTTTTTTTTTTTTTTTGGTCTATAGAATTGCTACTAACCCTTATTTTTGTTGTTGAGTTGCACAGGACTTTTGACCATGATGACAGAATTGGCTAGACTTGAAGTCTGATAAGCAAGTGAGTGCGATTTTTCATTCTGTAATTGACATTTTTATATGCGCCATTTTAGTGGTATTGTGCATGTGAAACACTTTGGACTTGAGTTGTTCTGTTTTTTTTTTTTTTAATTTCTTTACTTGTGTGAGTATACAGAGTTTGTCCATTTTGAGCATGTTAAGAGAAAGGGGAATGAAGAGGGGAAAAGATCTCATGCACAAAATAGAATAACTTTTCATTGAAATTTGTTGTCAATAGTTATAGCTACATAACCAGAAACATTGAATCTTATAACATGAAAACAAATAAGAAAGAAAAAATATTGTAGCTTCTAAAAAAAATCTAAATCTTAATTTTTTATTTTAAGAGAACATTATAAATATTAAAGATGATGTCCATTGATATTATTGATTTGCATTATCATTATTTCTTTATTGGGGAGGGAAATATTACTTACATTACCATACAGTTGCAGTTGTATGTCTTCTAATGACGATCTGGAAGAATGCAATCTCTTAAAGCCGTCAACTTGTCTGTAAGAATCCTCATCCGACATTTAGAAATTGTCAAATTGCTCTAAAATAAGGTTTGTTTAATGATATAGATTGACTTGGGCAAAGCTACTGTTCTCATTTATTTCATTCCATCCATCTGTGAAAGTGATTCAGTTACTACATTCAAGTACCAAAATCAATTGCTTTACAAATGAAGTCTATCTCTTTGAACACCATTAACTAGATGCTATATAAAATGATTGAACATCTTATTTTTCTAAAGAAAGTGTTCAATTATACTGATCAGCTCTAGAGGAAACTTGAGATGATAAGACTAATGAACTGTTTTGGAATGGAGTACCTTCCTCGAGTTATATTTTGTCAAGTACGAGACGTGACAAAACTGAAACCCGTAATGATTTCCAAAGACCTATCAAATTTATGATCACTCCTGATGAAACGTAGATTTATTGGTATGGCAGTAGTTTTTTTTTTCCATTTTCAATTTTGAGATTCTCAAAATGTTACTAGTTTCCTGGACAAAACTTTGCATTTTACAGCTATAACAATTATTTGTCTGCGACTGATTTATTTTTTAGCCTGATCACTGGCATGACAAATAAGGATGCAATTTTTGTGATCATAATGGAACATTTTTTTTGGAAACGGTGGATGATGGACAATGAAATTAGGTGGCCACAATATACATATGGAACACTCGAATGTATTTTTATGGCGCTGTTATTCAACAATGCACATATGTTTTGAACTATCATCTTATCATCCACCATATTTTAGTCTTATATTCTGTATTTTTCTATATCAGTTTGTTTCAAGTATATTATTTTCTAATGGCTAATAAATGATTAAATGGATAGTATAATTTATAATTTCTTATTAACCTGATTCATGAATGAAATTGGCTCAGGGCTATTTCTATTCCCCTATATATTCTCTATGCTTTCCAGTTTTTTGCACAAATGCCCTCTCATCAACTTTTCATCTGTTGATATCAGAGCCATGCCTTCATGCACCAAAGCCCTATTTCTAGACATCATCCATGTTCGAAAAGTGTGCCTCTGGATTCTTCATAAACTGTAATGTATGTTTTGCTTCTCCAAAACATTCTTCATATATTCTCAGTTGTCTGAGTAATGCAATCTGCTTTTCTTTTACTGTGAAGTATATTTTCTCTGCACTTTTAACACTATTGTCTTGGTTGAACTTCTAATTTTTTTCTGTGACTTGTAACACTTTATAACAAGTCTTTTGGTTATTTAGTCTACAAATGGATCACCTGGCAACAAAAGGCTAAAAAGTGAAGAAAGCTTGTACAAGAATTATAGAGAAGGGTAATCAATTCTAACTTGACAGGGAAGGGATGGTATGGCAACTTGTCTTCAAGGAAAGAGTGGCAGACAGGAGAGATAAGCACATAAGGAAAAGGAAGATCTTAACATTATTCAGATATTTCAGTCAAAGTTGCATTTTTTTCTAAAGTTCTTGTAGCAATCAAGTTAACAAAACAATAGATTATATGACTTTTGTGGCGCGCCCACTTTTTGAACAGAAAATTGTTTGATTGCTGGTTGCTATGCTATTGCATGATAAAAGATGCTATAAAATTTCAACTTTAATTGGTTGGATTAAATTCTATTTTTGGCAAACTGTTGGGGAATTTCGTGTGTAGATGAGAGTAGCTCGTCTCACTTTGCCCGTTTGTAACAACCTTACTGAACTGACAATGAATAAAAATAGCAACCTGAAGGTTCTTGCCTGTTGTGTGCTGTCTTCATTCCATCTTCTGTTAACTGCAATCTGATTAAATCTCTCATTATAAACAATTAGTTTATGGAATTACATTAAGTATGATTTGTAAAGTCATTTTTTGTTTCCATATTAGATATTTGCATGTGCTGTTCCAGTTGTCTGGCTTTTGTTTCTTTTGGTTCCCTAATCTGTAAGATTGTTTTCCAGAGCTGCCTTTCGGAAATAATATAGTGCTTTGTTTTCCTTTTTTAATTTATCTTTTAAAGATTTTAAGAGGCTTACTTCAATTTCTTGGTAATCCTAGTGATGTAGTGTCTGAAAGTCTCCTAATACAAAAAGTTAGGGTCATACATTCTATTTCACTTCAGGGTCTCTCAATTTTCTACAATCCATTGTGACTAAGGCTCTGTTTGGGGCATCTTATCCGCTGTGGCGACGTTTTGAAAACGTCGTCTCACCGTTTGAAAACTGCGTTTGAGCAGCTTATCCAAAAACGCAGTTGGTTTTTTACATTAAACGTGGAATGCGGGTCGAATCTCGCGGTCCGCGTTTCCAGATAAACGACTTATTTGAATAAACACAAACTGCCTCAAACGCACCCTAAGGCTTCGTTCGAAGGAGCTTTGCTGTTTAGTGAATGTTGGAAGAACGGAGAAGTTCATTTGAGTTACAAAACAGCAAAAATTCGTCGTTCTTGCGAAAAAGCTTTGAAGGAACTTCAAAAATGCACCTTCACCCAAAAAAATAAAATAAAAAATCCACGTGTCGGCGTGTTGTGCAACGCAACGGAGATTCGCAGTAATCGCAAATGAAACCTAGGAATCCTTGAAGCTTATGGGTGCACCTTGGAAACGAGATTCTCATGAGATTGAAAACAGTCATAAGAATCTTCATGTAGATAGCCAAGTTCTGAAGACTCTCTACCTTCTGAAAGTAAACAAGTCCCTTACCTTCCAGATTCTTTCAATTAGGTAGGCCAGATGTGGCCATGCAAGGTTTGAAAACAAAATTGGAGTAGAACTCGCACAGAATTTGTTCGGCTCGTTGTTCGTGAACAACTCGTGTTCGGCTCGTTCGTTAAGCCTAACGAGC